GCCAAAAGTCGACTAAGATGGCGACTTATAATTTTTTTGACTCAAAAGTATCTCGTTAAAAATTATAAGTCGCATTTATTTGTAAAAATAAATTAATTTATAATATATTTATGCGCTCTCTTGTTTTATAAACTGAACGTCGATTATAATCTTACATCTGTTATATTTATTTGTCATAGCTCAACATTTCGTGGATTATGAAAGTTTTGTGTAACTGCGAATATTAGTTGCAGTGATAACTAATAAATTTGTATTAATATACGTTTATAAATAGTTCTCATCGTTTAATTATGGATCAAATCTAGAGTTTTCTAATTATCGTTATTAAACACAATGTGAATACATCGAGACAAAATTAAAATGTTGACAAGATTAATGTTAAATTTTATACTTTCACGCATCATTCAATGAGCGGTATCCACTATTTGGTAGTGCGAAGAGTACCGTTTGGTATAGATTGCACTACGAAATAGTGAATGGTCACTATTTCAGTTTCAGAGAATGAAAAGCCGTGCCCTGTAGAGGATCTTCAAGGACATGAATAAAATAATAATAAATAAATATATTATTATTATTATTATTATTATTATTATTATTATCAAATTCGTAAAAGGTCGGTTTTTGATCTACAGGCGATGAAAAACCGACTAAAAATTATAGAACGTTTTGGTCTGTTTTTGACCTTGATACGATCAAAACCAGCTAAATGATTGTGACGAAAAAAGTCTGATTTTGGTCTTGAAACAATAGAAAACAATTTTATTATAACATTAAAAATGATCTGAAATTGGTCTGAATTGTGAATAATACGGGCAAAAACAGATTAAATTCTCATATAAAATAGATACACATAATAAAATTAAATTGAATGAAAAATATTAAAAAATTTTATTAATCATAAAACAGACTAAATTTTTTGACCCGGGAATCGAACCCGGTTTTCTCTACGTCACAAGCCCAAGGTTTATCCTCTTACGCTATATCTGAGGAAATATCCAAAAGTTATGTTCTGTCACATAATAAGACCCTCAATACAGTAGTTGGTCATCTGTCGGTGGTGGCGTCACAAATTACTGGACTCTGTCTCTCTTTTATTAAAACATTTAGTATGCGACCTGATTCACTTGCTCTTACGGGAAAAAAATTTACTAAATAACATCGTAATTTTCAATAATTCAAATTAAATTCTGTAGACGGCAGCATCGTAAAAATTTTTATGTTATTTATTACTTACATTATTTGTGATAGTTACGATGTTAACATAACATCGTAAAAATTCATGAGTAAATAGTAATTTTCGAAATATAAAATCATAGAAGTTAAGATATTGAAAGACTATAGTCCTGGATTACGATGTTACTATTGTAATTTTTCATATGATTTTTTTCCGTGTAGATTCAATATATCGACGTTCTTATAATATAGGAAATTCCAGAGATAGGAATGTGAACTGAATATAAAAATGTACAAATAATTACAAAATTAATTTAATATTAAAAATATTACTACAAAATGTAATAAATTCCCAAGTAATTAAAATACTACTCAAAATTGCGTCCTTTATCTTTGGTTATCAACGACGCCAAAAGTCATCTTCTAGTCGCGAATTCAATCGTAATCGATAGTTCACACAGGTCCGTATTACAGTCAACCGAACCCAAAATGGCTTTTAGTCACATCTGCTCCCGCAGTAGTCACTACGGAAAATCGTGCGTGATAGTGATCTTAATATCGCCATAACCAGGACTTCTCGGGGTGTCTCTGTTCTTCGTCGCTTTCGCTCTACCCGGCGGGTAATCTCTTTCACTATTTGTTTTAGGCCATTATTACAAATTAGTAAAATATGTATACTTACACATAAAATTTATTTGTTTTTATCTCATCTTGATCAAATTATTGACCGTAATTATCTTTTGTTATTTGGTGACTTATTTATTAGCTTAAAAT